GTTTACATATGCATATAATATAAGCGCATGGAGCAGGCCGAGAGAAGCAGATATGCACTGACCGAGGGAATGATCTGCTTGTACCATTTCAGCACCACATCAATGTGCTCCATCATGCACAGCAGGTTGAAGAAGCGACCACTGCAGAGGAGGGAGAATGGTTGTTTACTTACCCACGTTTACTGCTTATAACTGGATCAGATACAGATTCAGAGTGATTATACTGCATTACACGACCATATCGTTAGAAGTTAGCAGAGGGTTCCTACTTACTAGTAAATGCTCTGCTGGAAGGAGTCTCCCAGCAGCCTCCAGTTCCTCCCGACATCTACCAAACTCTGGATTTTATATCCCAGCTCCAGATCTTTACTGTCCAAACACTGCAAGGACAAAAAACATGCACGCGGAAACAGGCCACAACGTATAAGCAGGGCATAGCCTCCTTTAATTATAATGTATGACTGATAATTGTGTCACCACTGATCTGGGAGCTAAGAAACAAACGCTGCCATGAGACTGTCGAGACTCTAAAGCAGGACTCACTATTCTCATTGCGCTGGAGAAGAACAGAACTGGAGAGACAGAGAGAGAACACAGCATCAGTTTTACCATCCACATGTCCGCACGTTTGTTCTGCCCGAACAAAAGGAAATCTGTCGTGCGCCGTGATATACCATCGTCAGGGTCCTGGCAGGTGAAGATGCATCCCTCCAGCTCAGCTATCACCTCCTGAAGAAGGTCAGTGTTGTTCTGTGCAGAAGAGGCTGGAGAGGAAACACATGGGGTGAATGCACATTTAAAAGCATGCAGCCGACAAACAGCGCAGATGCCTGTGAGGGTCACATATGAGAGCAACTGCAGGGCTACCTGATTTGTAAAAGACTGCCAGGATGTGGTCGTAGGAGGCCAGGCTGGGAGCTGCACACACACACACACACACACACACACACACACTCAGAGAATAAAATAAGACTTGCCTGTAAAACACCAGGTAATAAAACACGAATGGCAGCGTTACCTATCCCCAGCGCCTTCATCTCATTCAGAGTGTGCAGAGCTTGTGTTTTGGCCAAGAAGCCGCAGCGTCTCAGAGCTTTGAGGACGCTGTTGAAGGTCAACAGGTTAGGACGAACTTTCTGCTGATTCATCTGGTTCAACAGCTCCTGCAGACAGACAAGGAGACGCCATTGTGAATATTAACTATTTGATTTGATTTGATTAACTAGGAGAACAGAAAGGGTCCAACGGAGAAGAGAGCGGGAACACTTATGAACTTTTAGCTTTAAAAGGTTGGAAACGACCAAACTACCAGTGCAAAGATGGCAGTAAATACAAAACCTCTTTACCACAGGACAAATTACTTGTGTGTTTGCTTTTTTTTTTTTTTTTAAAATACAAAACCATTGTGCAGCAGCGATCAATAAATCAGTGTGAAGGGTCTTACAGCAACGAGGTCCCATCGCTCATTAAATTTGTCTCGGACGTCTGGAGCTGCTGAGATCAAAGCATTGAAGATGTGGACATCAGCTGAAGGGAAACGATTGGGTTATTAGTTAACAGATTACATATATAATGTAATATATATACAAAAATACATAGGATATGGCCAAAAGTACTTGGCCACCTCATTACACCCACAGGAGCTGCTGGTGTTGTGTTGAATTCAAAGATTAAGAGTCGTGGCCCAATACTTGTGTCCAGTGTATACAGCGTATCATCACAGGTCAAGAACAACACCCACAGTTAAACTGAGTCGGGCTATAAGAGTCCTCCAGTTTTTCCATTTTCGATGAAACAACATATTTTCTTATCACCGTAAGAAAACACAAAATTCACTCAATTTAAGTTTAAGACTCATTTAAATGATGAGAAGAATAACTACACGAAAGGCCACATGATTGCTAGAAACAATGACGTGACCTCTACACAGTATTTAACCAAAGCAGTGATATTAACCAAAGCAGCTCACCTGTCAGCCTGTTGTTAAGCATATCTGTGTACATGCTGAATGCCTTTGCATAGGCTCCATGCTGTGGGGACACACACAGACACACACACGAATATTAGGATACACTAAAATGACCCTTTCACTGCTGTTGCAATGCTGCAGGCCTGCATTTAGCCTGTGACTCTGATGCACGCCTACCTTGACCATGCCTCTGATGAGAGCAGAGTAACAGCGTGTATCCCGCTCTGGCAGCAGGTTAAAGATTCTCTCCGCATTGTTGTTTTCTTTCCAGGTGAACTTCAGGAAGTCTGAAGCTCGGCGGACCCGTGCTTTCCTTTTCTTCAGCTCCTCTCCAAATTCCTGCGGAGCAAAAACAGAGAAGTATCCTGCAGTGCTAACGTCCTTTTCATTGGAGCAGCTACTTTAATGTTACGTCAGGCGGGAACTCACTGCGTCGTCTGTCTGTGGCTCCCCATCCTGGACGGGGTCCCTGTCGCTGTAGAGACAGATAAGGTCCAGCAGGCTATGGGTTGTTTCCATGGAGACAGTAGTGCCTGAAAAAGATAAAAAAAACGCAAAAAAACACTTTTAAATGTGAAGCTTTGAGCTCCAGAGTAACATTCTGTAAAATGCAAAGAACTTCTGCAGACAACACCTATACTACTGATGCACACAATAGCAGAGTAAATAAGTATTTGGACCACAGCTTTACAATATTCATGCTGTGCATGCATGTGTGCGTGCGTGCATGTGTGCGTGTGTTCTCACCAGCTTGCAGTAACTGATCATACATGTCAACAGCAGCTGTAACTTTCCTCAGGGTGATCCTTTCCTTCAGTGCTTCCTCACTCACCTCCTCAAGACGCAGGGATACAGTCTCTGGCATCAGACACTACACACATACAGACAGACAGACAGACACACACACGACAACCAATTGCTTAGTGAAAAGGAACCGCACAATACGAGAGCAGCACTACACTACATACCCACACCTCCACACACTGCTGTGCATTTCTTACGGGTATATGAGGTTCTGCAAAGTCTTTGGTGAAGAGTTTGGGGTTGTTGTTGACGATGTATTTGGCTGCAGATCTGCCCGACTCCTGAGAGAGAGAGAACAGCTTCTGCAGAGATACAATAAAGCTGGTTTATTAGGTTGCTCACAGAGTAATGAGCAATACAGGCAAAAAACAAAGTTGTCTGCATTACCTGATCTAAGACTCTTGAAATGAATTAAATAAAAAGAGAAACTGTCTGATGTAACTAACAGTGTCCCTAAATATACATACAAGCATAAAGATATGTTTTAACATACAAACTCAGTAGAAGTCCTGGGAGAGAGGTAAGGATCATCTTGGAATTGGTAGGGATATGCTGTGGGATCCTGCAGGGGCAAAGAAAAGGCGGTCAATCCAAGCTAAAAAAAATCCAGCTTCATGAATACAGTAAAAATGTGAAGGTGCTCTCACCCTGCTGACAGTTGAAGCCAGCGTCTCCAGCACTGCCTCTCTGCTCCTGTTTGATAAAGAAAAACATGATTTTAATGCCTCATTTAAAGAACGCTTTAAACAAAAGAGCATGAGAGGCTGTAATACCCCACTTCACAGTCAGATCAGCTCATACCATGTTTTCTTCCTGGGGATGACAACGGACTCTGTCGATTCTGCAACACAATTGACGAGACGTGAAGATTAAAAATGAAAGCTTTGATGTAATAAATGCTCCTTTCAGTTCGATATTTTCCTGCTCAACTAAACTCATTGATGAAATCCAAATGCTTCCTAAATTTAACCCACTGACTAATAAACATTGAATTTATATCATTTACCTTTATTGGCTTCTGCAGCTTGCTGTCGTAGAGCTGAGGTCCAACCGAAGCCCCTGAAAGATCATTTTTGTCAGTTTAGCCAGAATGATTTTTTCCATCCTTGTTACACTTCAATCTAAAAACACGACCAGCGCTACACCTGCTTTAACTGGATGATGTATCCTCACAGGTCTGTTGGCTGAAATTAAGCTCTCCTCTATCGGCACCAAAATATGTTTCACTTAACAGCGGTCTGGTTTATTTTCCACTAACGTCAACACAACAAATCTCCCTAGAATTAAACTGTTAAGTGTTTGGGTTGTATGAATTTAAAAAAAAATGAAGGGGGCCTAGCAAAAAACAGTTTGGGAACCACTGCACTTCTGTCACAAATCTCCCTGACACTTGTCTCCAACCTTCCCTGTGCTCTCGTCCATTATTCTGGGTGAATTTAGATTTGCCCATCACTACCTCTGCACCTTACATCTTCACTGTTACACCTGCCTCGCTCTCATTCCCACACTTCCTGTCTAACGTCAACCGACTTTTGTGAAAAAGGAGAGAGAAAAAAAGCTTTCACGGTGGTCACATTCTGTACATCTGGTATCGTCTAAGAGTATTGGCCAGACAGCACATCAGTAAGGCTCTGCCACTGTTTCATCTGTGACCTGCTTGTTTGCAGAGGGTCCTCCAAGAAAACTCGGACATTTCAGCTGTTACATTCACACGTCATAGCTAACATCTCAGCAGCTTATTCAGCACCTCTAGCTCCTTGTGTCAAATATATTCTGATGTGCGGAGGATTACAAAAGGCAGTTAATGGTTGTGGGAAATGCAGGTGTGACGCTTTTTAACGTTTTAGTTACTATTTTCCTCACTAATGTAGACATTTAAGAATCCGTGCTGGTAGCTGGTTAGTTGGGGCTTCACACGTCTAGCAGCTCTCTGATGTAAACGACGTGAAGACATGACCTCCTGTCAGACGGCGCTAGCTGCTGCAGCTGTCGCACTCATGTCGCAACAAATAAAAAACACAACATAAGAGACGAATGATTTAAAATAAATATGGTTTAAAATAACCATTCATCAACTCGTCCTACCTGTGGCCCAACAGCTGCTCGAGGTTATATAGAAGAAATCGTCCGTTTCTCTGCACAGAGTGCCCTATGTGCCTACCGGGCGCCGCCATATTGCTACAAACTGAAGGATTCTGGGAGGGACGAAACTATCTGTGCTAAGACGGAGGAGGGAGTTAAATAACAAGTAGTGTCATTTTGGAGGATATAGTGCACTTTTCCCTTTAACATAGAACAAAAAATAATATTTATCTTTAAGCGTGGTCATTTAAACTTTAAACATCCAGCAGGTGTTTTGGAAAGTTTAGTCATACCTATTCGTGTCTCCCCTGTCGTAGAAACTTACGTGTTACGGCCCCACGTGTGAAACAGGAGGAATAGCTTCTCACTGAGCGCCATGAAGTAAACTCTGTAAATGGGTAAAAAGTGCTGATAATTCCCCGCCAAAGAAGATGTTGTTCGGAAAAGAAGTGCCATGGCGGCGTTTGGAAGGCATGTCGTTTGGCATTTACTCCGCCGAAGAGATAAGGTGAGGGAGCTGGTCGGTTTTTAGCTACGCGCTAAGTGCTAGTTCAAAACAACACGCAAGAGACAGCATGAAAAGTTCTGGCTTTTCACAAAGTGCATAGTATGTCTTGTGGTTGCTGTGTTGTTGTTATTATTGTGTGTTCATCTGTGAAACGTGTAAGGACCTCCCGTTATAAGGTTATTACCGTTGTGCTACTTTACAGTCCAGCCTCACAGTATGCTGTGATAAAGAGCGTGTCATCGAGTAAACACAGATATGCACCTATTCGGAACAGACCCAAGAGCTGGTAGAAATTCAGTATAACTGTAATAAAGACATAATACATCGATAATAACGTCAAAAATGTCTGATCTGAACTTTCTTTATGTACCATGATTCAAAAATAGCCAGTGAAACCTTGATGTGCCCCTGTCATGACTAATGTCCTCTTAATTTCCAACAAGCTGTTGTGTGAAAGCTGAGGTTTGGTTTACAAACTGGTGCATTTCTAATAATCTATGTATCTTGCGAATTTCCCTCATGCAGAAAGTTGAGTGTGAAAGCCATCACTAACTTCAGGTTCCTGGATGGTGTTGGGAATGTGGCCCCAAACGGCTTGTATGATCTGGCTCTGGGACCAGCAGACATCAAAGAGGTACATCTCTAAGATCTTCAGACATGACAACGCATTTGTCACAGATTAGTCCGTACCATTTTATTTCCCATTTAGGTTTTATGCCTGTACAGCTAAAGTTTCAGGAAGTAATCCACCAAAAAGGGCTCATAATGTTCTGGAATCTGTAGATTTTGGAATAAATAATGATCATTTGAATGTGTTGTTTTCATGTGTTCATGGTTGTGTTTGGCTGCTTTTACCCAGGTGTGTTCAACCTGCTGTCAGGATTTCAACAACTGCCCAGGCCACCTTGGACACATAGAGTTACCTCTACCTGTGTACAATCCATTGTTCTTTGATGTAAGCGTTTCACATGCACACATACACGCTTACAAAGAGTAGCAGTGTTAAGCATCTGCTTTTCCTTCCTCACCTTAATGTCTGCGCTGACCTCTCTCCTCCTTCAGAAACTCTACCTGCTGATCCGTGGCTCGTGCCTGGCGTGTCACATGCTAACATGTCCTCGAGCTGCCATGCACCTGCTGCTGAACCAGCTCAAGTTATTGGACCACGGAGCCATGCAGGAGGTCTACCAGATCGAACAAGTTCTCGGCCAGGTGGGTTCTGCACTCACGGTGGCATGAAGTGCACCGACACAGGGCCAGGTGTAGTAAACGGAGCAAACTAGTTTTGACAGGTGTGGTTAGTTTTACAAGGGATTTAAAAAGAAATGAACCGAGTTTGGACTCTTGCAGCGTGTTAGCAAAGCAGCTTCTCCTATGATGGGGTCTTTCACTGTTTTGTTTTCTCACTTCTGCTTCTCTGTGTTTTGTAATTATCACAGGTCAGTGTTAGTCTCTTTATGTTTGATTCATTTGACTCTGTATGTGTGTTTGTGTTAGTACATGGAGGAGAATGTCAAAGCGACTGTCGATGAGGTCGTGCAGGTGCTGCAGGTGTTTACAGACGCCACAGTTGGAATGAACGCAGCGACTTCAGAGAACACCAAACCTGTGAGTACACACTTACAGACTCATGAAGAAATGCATGGAGATGTTTTGTGAATGAAATAAAACCGCACGTAAATCAGATTGCGATGTGCATTTCTGTCAGCTGTGCAGTTTTTCTGTTTATTTGGCGTGTGTGTGTGTGTTTCAGATTAAGCACTTGGTTGAGAAGAAAGGCAGTTTGATTAACGACTTCTGGAAGATCCATATGAAAACCAGGAAGTGTCCTCACTGCGGGTAACTCGATGGAATGCACACATCTGTCACTGATATTCATCCTGTTTATGATTTCAGCAAATAAAGTGTCTTTACTGGATGTCAGTGTTGAAAAGTGTTGCTCTAAAGTCATGTTCAAGTCAAAGTTTAATCATCCCTCACTGTAATGTAATACATGATAATGGAGAGGTTTATACTTACATATAAATAATATATTGTCCCTTATTGTGACGTAGTCATGCACTCTGTGTGTTTGTGTAGTTGTGGCAGGTCTACAGTGCGTCACGAACACAACAGTAAGCTGATTGTCACGATGCCATCAGGAGCTCAAACCAGTGACAAAACTGAAGGTGAGCAGTGTTTTCAGGAAATGCAGATAAACAGACAAAACACAGCACAGTCCGCACACGTGGCACAAAGTCAAGCTGACTCTGTTAGCTCGACGGCTGCTGCGTAACTCGCCTTTTCTTTCATGCAGTTTCACTGCTGAACAAACGTCTGGTTAATTGTGATTTGTGGTGGACTTGATATACGTCTGTTTTAATGGTGGCTGCACGCACCTCCTCTAACTCTGATCCATAACCATGTCTCCCTGCAGAAGATCTGCTGCGTGGAAAGAGAGTCTACATGACTGCCAGCACTGCTCGAGAGCACGTCAACAAAGTGTGGGAAAAGGAAGGTAGGCCAGAAATAAAGACTCCAGGTTACATGTTTAAGGCTCTTCTAAGCCCCTCTCTCCAGACACACGCAGACACATTCACCTACATGTCTGTTGTGGATTAAAAGTCAACCCTGACTTTCAGCTGCATGTGAGATTTAAAGTCTTTTCTCCCAGATCAGCGTTTACTGCTTAACCTGTGATCTAGTAGGAAACAACCTGTGATTGGCCAAAGCGTCCCATTAAGACAAGAGAGAACTTCAGCTGCCTTTCAGCTCTGTCAAACTTCATTGTGCTGGAAGGTTGTTGTGTATTAAAATATGATGCTTACTCCAGTTTCAGTGAGGAGATTACAGCATTTAAAGCTAGACGTTTGGTTTGGGTGTGTGTTAGAGAGCCAACATGAAAGAAGCTGCTTGTTACATATGTGTAAAATGCAATGTAACAAGTTTAAAAAAACTAGAGAATTAGAGATCGCTTTGGCCTTTACTATTGTTTATTTTTGCTCTGCATTTATTAAGAACGTGTTCATACTCTCATACAAATACATGTATAACGTGGCCAGTCATAAAAATACCTGCGTGCACACCTTAGAGCCATGAAACTTTAGTGTGTGTGTGTGTATGTGTATGTGTGTGTGTGTGAGCAGAATTCAAAGCATTACTTGTGTTATTTCTTCAGGTTTCTTCCTCAAGTGTCTGTTCTCTGGGCTGGAGGAGTGCATGTGGTCCAAAGAAGGGGGAAGCAGTTTCTACCCTGACCTCTTCTTCCTGGAGCTGCTTGTGGTCCCGCCATGCAGGTACAACATTAGCTGGCAGAGTAGCACCTGTTTGTTTTACACTGAAACACCTACCACTCCAACCTGTAATCTGTTACTGCTGTACGAGCAGCTTATTTTAACACTACACTCCTCATCTCCCCCCTGTCAGGTATCGTCCAATCAATCGCCTGGGTGACCAGATGTTTACTAACGGTCAGACAGTGAACATGCAGGCTGTCATGAAGGACTGTGACGTCATAAGAAAACTCCTGGCCCTCATAGCTGGCGAGAAAATTGTCCCGGAGACAGAGGTGAGTCGGAGACGATGAAACATGAAGAGTGTAAGAAGCTGAGCAGCTGAAGCGTTTCTTCCATCCAGATTGTGATGGCAGAGTGGATGTGGTTCTTTTCAGGCTGTCGAGCAGACGGACCAGTCGTTTCTGTCCGGGATCCTGGGAGCGACTCTAACAGATAAACTGTACAACGTGTGGGTCCGCCTGCAGAGCCACGTCAACATCGTCTTTGACAGCGACATGGACAAACTGATGACAGAGAAATACCCTGGGATCAGACAGGTACCTCGCTGCACACCAGCACGAGCACAGCTGACCAGGGGTTAGGCATGTAAACCTTACAGTTTCTCACATTACGTTACAGATCCTTGAGAAGAAAGACGGATTATTTCGGAAACACATGATGGGCAAACGTGTGGACTACGCCGCAAGATCTGTCATCTGCCCAGACATGTACATAGGCACCAACGAGATAGGAATACCTATGGTACATCCCTACCTTTGTTAAAGAAGACGAGATCAAAATGGTATCAAGACTGGAGCTCAAAGTTTTCTGGCTGTTTTGTGTATCCGTGCAGGTTTTCGCCACCAAGCTGACCTACCCTCAGCCAGTCACTCCCTGGAATGTGAAGGAGCTCCGGCAGGCCGTTCTCAACGGGCCCAACGTCCACCCCGGTGCCTCCATGGTGATAAACGAGGACGGCAGGAAAACCATCCTCTCCCCTACCTGCCTCGCACAGAGGGAGGCGGTGGCCAAGGAGCTGCTGACGCCCTCTCCAGGTCCACGCAAGATGCCCATGAAGATCGTAAGTCAGCTGCGTGGATTGAAACAGCAGTCAGTCACAGATTTAACCCCCTGCGTGAGTGCTCACTAGCTGCGTTTCGTCTGCTCAGGTGAATCGACACATAAAGAACGGAGATGTTTTGTTGCTCAACAGACAGCCGACTCTGCACAGACCCTCCATCCAAGCCCACTGTGCACGCATCTTACCAGGAGAGAAGGTAGCTCCGAGCTCCTCAGCCGCCGTGCTTTGTAGATTACTTTGATCTGTACTTGATCTCAACTCGATCTTCCAGGTGCTGAGGCTCCATTACGCCAACTGTAAAGCTTACAATGCTGACTTTGATGGGGATGAAATGAACGCTCACTTCCCTCAAAGTGAGCTGGGCCGAGCCGAGGCCTACACGTTAGTCAGCACTGACCAGCAGTACCTCGTCCCCAAGGTATGTGTGTGTATGCAGAGAGTACGCAGGATTCACAGTTAACACTGCAGCCCGACAGTCTCAGGGATTATAGCTGCAAAATGTTATAAACAGACTGGATTATACATGTAAGACGACCACAAATAAAAACCATCTAAACTTCTATTATTTCTAATGGCCAGCAGGGGGAGACTCCTGCTTATGGAACTAGAGCCTCTGGTTTTAATGACTCATGTATGGAAGCCCGTTTCTGCCACAAAAATTTAAAAGTATCCATAACTTGAAATTTTGACTTATTTTCTCAAAATTTTGACTTATCTTTCTCAAAATTTTGAGTTGTTTTCTTGAAACTTCGCGTTAGCTCTGTCCATCAATAATCTACCTGAATGAGGTCATTTTCTTGTTACCCGGAAGGATATGGCGCAGACTAACGCACACTCAAAACCAGATCGCAACAAATCGGCGCTTTCGAGAGTACATTTGCTGATAGTAACGCCGTGTGATTCAGCTAATAACACAAGGATTTCATCATTTGTGAAACCACACTGAAAATCCTCAGCAATGTGTGCATTCATGACTGGATGTAATACTGCTAGCTTAGCATAGCATTTGTAGCTGAGGGCTTCAGCTTCCGGGTAACAAGGAAATGATGTCATTCACGTAGGTTGCTGATTGGCAGCGCTAACTCCAAATTTACTTTTTTGAGAAAGATGATTTTTTTTTTTGTTTTGTGTTTTTTTTTTTAGTGGCAGAAACAGGCTTCCATATCCATGAGCTTAGCAATAACCTTCACTTTTACTCAAAGACGGACTGATTTAATTTTTAATGATCAAGCTGCGTAACCTTGAATGACTTTTGGATCTAAGTACATCAGGGGACCTGTATTTGTGGAGTGAGGGAAGTTGTGGCCTTAAGAGATCAAAAGTCTTTATTTAGGTGTGCATAATTATTAGGCAGCTTCTTTTGGGCCAAAACAATAAACTTAATAGACTTTAAAAAGGCAAAAAGTCTTTCAGAGGGATGCAGAATTGTTGAAATAAGATATTGGTGTGTGATCACAGAAACCCAACCCTAGTCAACAAGATCACAAGAATTGTGTTGACGTTAAAAAGACAAATTAACCGGCGAGGTGCAGGCGGGGTTCTGGTCTGGACTGGTGTTATTAAAGATGAGCTAGTTGGACCTTTTGGGGTTAAAGACTTAAAACTCAACTCCCAAACCTGATTCTGGTTTTTGTGCAGGACAACGCTCCATCGCGTGCATCAAAGTACTCCAGTGTGAATCTGGAGTAAGGGCCTTCTTCCTCTCATGAACTGCAGGTTGTACCTTCTCATTCTTCTCTCCTCAGGATGGTAAACCTTTAGCAGGCCTGATCCAGGACCACATGGTGTCAGGAACAAGGATGACAATACGAGGCTGCTTCTTCACCAAAGACCAGTACACTGAGCTGGTGTACAGAGGGCTGACAGACAAACCGGGCAGGGTGAAGTTACTTCCTCCAGCGATACTCAAACCACAGCAGCTATGGACGGGAAAACAGGTGAGCGAACGTACATTTGAGTTTTGGTTTTAATAGAAGCTTTTCAGCTTTTCAGCGTAATGCTGGAAGCTGAATGAAAGAGTTTAGTCAAAGGTCAGCGTGTTAATTATCCATCGTCTTGAACTCTAATAGTAAAAATAAGGAATTCATGGCTTCAACATCTCTTGTGTGATGATTTCGGTGCTCCTCATAGGTGGTGTCGACCCTCCTGCTGAATGTGATCCCAGAGAAAGCTGTCCCTCTCAACCTGGCTGGCAAATCAAAGATTCCTAGTAAGGCGTGGATCCAGGTCCCACCACGAGCCAATCCAGGGTACCAACCCGAGAGCATGTGTGACTCTCAGGTATGTACACTCTTCGAGCCAAAAATACTCGAATTACTCAGTTACTAAAGGAGACCAGGGATCTTGTATTTCTGCTTTGGTTCGGGGCGTTGACGCTTGCTTCTCCTCTTCTTTCGTACGTCTTTGTGTTCAGGTGGTGATTCGTCAGGGGGAGCTGTTAGTTGGGGTTCTGGACAAAGCTCATTATGGCTCCTCGGCTTACGGTTTGGTGCACTGCTGCTATGAGCTGTATGGAGGGGAAACCAGCGGCAAACTGCTCAGCTGTCTGGCTCGACTCTTCACTGCATACCTGCAGCTCTACAGAGGCTTCACTCTGGGTAAGAACCCGGATACTGACCAGTGTTCTTCGTTCCTCCCCTGAACCCTGTTAGTATTACTGCAATCACACAAATGTGTCAGGTACACTGAGAGCAACCTGGAGAAAGATTCTGCACACTCGAGCTGTCCTTTGGTCAGATGAGACTAAACTAAGAAACACTGCTGATGTTTGGGGAACGCAGGAAGAGAGAGACCACAGGGAAGCACGGTGGTGGGAGTTTTATGCTGTAGGGACACTTCAGTGTGTCTGGAACTGGGAATCTCATCAAGGGGAAAGAAACCATGAAGGATGTGTGAAGATTGACGTGCATGAGACGACTGAAGGCTGTTAGCCAGCATAAAGGACGCACAACTGCATCATCATTTTCATCCTAGTAGTTTTTGGTTTTAGGGTAATAATAATAATGTAACCATCCAGCATAAAGTGATATATTAAAAATTGCTTGCTCTGTTTACCAGCACTTGGGAAATGATTTCTAAATGCTGACGATTCACCTGTTTGTCAGTTGTGTACAAGGAACAGAACACTAACTTTTTCCTTTGACCTGTGCCCAGGAGTGGAGGACATCCTGGTAAAACTAGGCGCTAACAAGCGAAGGAAGAAAATTATTAAGGAGTCGCTGAAGATTGGAACCAAAGTGAGTAAAGCTAATGTGGTCTTCACTGAAAAGCCTGCAAGCATGAACGCACGCTCTACATTTGACACCACAGAGAGACTAAACTGCAGCTTTGTCAAATTCAGTGCTTCTTCCTTCCTGGACGCCACTGGCCAAAATGGCTGCCACAGTAAAGGTGTAGTTCATGGGCCCCATGGTGCTGGGAAATAGCCTGTGGGGATAAATATGTACTACACACAGTAATTATATTACACTTACCTATACACAGTCATTAAGTGTCTGTGTGTAAGGCTGTTTCCAGTTCTGCTGTGTCCACACTAACACTTCTACAACGCTGACATTTCAGCAGGCAGCTGGGTTTATAAATCACTGGGAAAACACGTGTTATAAGACTCATTCGTACTGAGGACGTGTGAATGCAAACATCAGTGAAACACTGTGCTCGTAGGCTGAATGTGGGAATGACAAGAATGAGATGAAAGCAGTTCGTGGCTGTGGTGAGATGTGAGAGCCACAAAGATCAGATAAGGGCGTGTAATGCGCTGTAGTGTGCAGTGTGACACTGTCAGCTAAAGCGGATGTGGCTAATTAATGAGGGGAAAAGGAAGCTGTGGTTAGCTGTTAACCACTATAGAAACGTGCTCTTGATAAATGAATCTGTGTTATCTGCTGGGTTCGGTAAAAACTGCGTTTTCTAAGGAGAGCGCCAGCAAACACGCTTTGCTTGTGAGTGAAAAACAACAGTCATTGGTGAAAAAAGAAAAAACACTCCTTCCCTATTGGTGGAAAAATGTGCCATGTCGACCAATCAAAAAAATGATATAGCAACATGTGCATCTGGTTGTTTGGGAAGAGGAGGAAGTTTTAGGAGTGAGCGAAAGAGAGAGAGAGAGAGACAGTTTTGATACGTGAGAGATTTGTGACGTTTGCCGTGTTTGGAGTCTCAAGTTAGTGTGTTGTCTTGTGTAGTTAGTGTGTAGTGTAGTCGTTGTTTTGTTTTGTGTGTCAGTTCTACTAGTGAACGTGACAGTTGCTGCCTTAAAGCCACCAAAGGCAGATTGCAGCGTAAACGCTGAGTGACACAGCTGCTGTCAGACCTGCAGGTTTATCCCTGTGCTGTTCTCATCTGTGTTAGAGTGACACAAACTATTTTTGGAGTTGCATAAATAATTTTTGTGCCGCCTTATTTGATACAGAACAGCTGATTGTTCTGTAAATAATTTTAAATGGTTATATAAAAAACGTCTGAGCCTTGGCTGCATTTTTAGATAAATAGTACCAAATAACTTTTGCAACTGTTTGCAAAACTTGTGCATATTTTTAAAAATATACAATTTCTATTTGCATTTCAAGTTATGAAAATGATTCGTTAAACATGCCTGTGGCTTTTACAGTCAAAAATATCACTTTCTACTTGTATTTTAAATTTAGATAAATTGTGCTGATACAGTTTGTCAACAGGAGAAGAATATCTCTAACAAGTTGATTTGTTCACATTGTCACATCTTAATTTTTAAGTGAAATGTGCATTTTGAGTTTATACACTATGTATATAAGGCGACCGTTTCCTTTTGCAGTATTTTTGTGTGTTTTGTTTTCCTATTTCTTAACAAAAGGTGAACAAAGGTGTTTAAGTTCACCTAGGATGGTTTGTTTTAATTTTCACATGGTCTTACTGAGGTGATGCGAATTGAAACATGCATTCTTTTTTTTTGGGGGGGGGGCGGCATGTGGTGGAAAAGCTTGAAAAGGGACCTTGAAAGTGCTTAAAAAGTGCTTGAATTTGACCCTGAAAAAGGCCTATGAACCCTGTATCTGCTTCACTCACATTATGGTGATAATAATCTGCAAGTGGTTGTTGCATTAGGTGATTTCCACTAGGGGGCAGCAAAGTCTACATATTTTCAGATTGTCCACATGGTGGCTTTAAAGATTCGGTGCTTTATTATTTTTGTTTTTTCTTTTTGTCATTCAGGCGCTCCAGGCTGCTTTTAATCTGCCCTCCAATGTGGACCAAGCCGAGGCTCAGAGTCGCTGGCAGGATGCTCACCTCAACCCAGACCAGAGAGACTTCATCACGGCCGACCACAAGTTCAAAGAAGTGGCAAACCAAGTCAACAATGATATCAACAAGGTAACCTGTCACTGCTGTTTCAGAGCCACGTTGTTCCTCTTTTGTTTGCTTTAAGAATAGAAGGTTTAATGGTCCAGTCACACGGCTGTGTCGTTGCAGAGGAAGCATCTAAAGAAACTCATTTGATTTGTTTCTGAATGTGTAAAAATATATGTCAGAAAACGTCTAATCTCATCCTGTATATCAGATCCGTTGATTTATCATTGGGCTCTAGTGTTGTCATGATTGGTTATTGAGACTGTTTTTAACAACATTATAGATTTATCCATTTTAATTGCATCTTCTAAAGCATTAGATCGTTCCTTTCTATAACTCAGACACCCTCAGCAGACAGTTTTCACTCCGTGTTGTGGTTTAATGCAGTGTGCACGTTGTTTTGTATGCTGGTTAGGTATGTATGCCAGTTGGACTACACACCTCTTTCCCAGACAACAACCTCCAGCTGATGGTCCAATCAGGAGCCAAGGGGTCTACAGTGAACACCATGCAGGTACGGCCCTCCCCCTCGCTCTGACATTCACCTTGGCTTTCCTCTTGATTTGATATCCAGGTGTGTTAAGCTACAAATGCCCTGACCTGTGTGTTGGTGTGTGTTTCAGATTTCCTGTCTGCTTGGTCAGATTGAGTTGGAAGGCCGTAGGCCTCCACTGATGCCCTCTGGGAAATTCTTGCCGTGCTTCCAGCCCTATGACCCTGCGCCCGGTGCTGGGGGATTTGTTTCTGGAAGATTCCTCACAGGCATCAAACCACAGGTAACGTTTAAAAGTCACTTTTACATGATAGCTCCTTTTGTGCGGCCAGGTTAAGTTTTTTTTTATAACGTTACTTAAGGAGGTAGACTTTGATATTTTGTACATTTAGCTGTCTTGTAGGTTTTAGATACATCCACACTCAAAAGTTTAAGACGGCTTGAAAAACGGCAAAAAATCATATTTTCATGGTTGGATCTTAAAAAGATTCCAAGTCGAGCTTCAACATGTAACAAGAAGACGGCCGCACGAAGGGCGTCTGCTGTCTGGAACTGTTGTCCGTTTCTGTAAACTTGCCATCCATCCCCAAAGGTTCTCAGTTGGATTTAGATCAGAGGAACATGCAGGATGGTCCAAAAGAGTGATGTTACTCTCCTGAAAGAACATTGTGTACTGTAGCGTTGTCCTGTTGAAAAACCCAGGCGTTACCACACAGACGAGGGTCACATAAGAGAAGAAAACTCTGCCACCTTTCAGTGTTGCATGTTTGGTGCAAACGGTTGATTCTGTGGCGTCCAAGGAGACGAGGCCTTTGAAGACGTTTGTTTTTGAAGCCTTTCAGTCCCAGATGCCATCTGATGGTTATATGGCTGCAGTCGGCACCAGTAACTGCCTTAATCTGGGTCGAGGATCGTCCAGTGTCTTGATGGACAGCCAATTGGATCCTCCGGCTCAGTGCTGGTGAATTTTTTTGGGTCTTTCACTTGACGTTTGTTGTTCCATAACCCTCAGGATCATTTAAGAAATTACTTATTGCGTCCACCTCAGCCGTGATGGCGTGCTGTGAGAGACCCTATGCATTGAGGGCGGGTCACACTCATACCATAAAAGAACCACTGGAGTTCATTTGAAAACCCACCAAGACCACTTCCTCTAAAGGATCCCAATGCGGTTGTTTTCGTTTTATGCTCTATAGAGAGATCTAAACCTCGCTGCTAAGAGCAGTTCCTTAGAGTTCAGGTTTGGTGCTGATTAGGGGTGGGGGAAAATCGATACTGTGTAGTATCATGATATTTTGTTTGCTAACAATGTATCGATACAGGGACAGCAGAAATCGATATTTTGTTACAAAAAAAGTTTTTGTGGACTGGAACATGCTCTGACTTCAGAGTCATGGCATGTTCCTTTTTCTGAGCAAAATCCTGACATTCCTTCACTGTCCAAATGTGTTTAACTTTTTTTTGGCAGCAATAAACATGACAGTTTACTTATTTTAATTTAAGACATGTTTTATTTTAATTAAGTTTAAAACTT